AGCAGGAAATGAGAAGCGCCTTGTCACTACTTATTTTTAAGCAGTGGTACGATAAGTTCACAACAATGGTTTGCCATTCGTGTCTGCAGGCTGGGTAAGTTTAATTCTTTGATCTTCACCGGCCCTTTGTAACCTACTTGTCTTCCCCCCTCGGCTGCACGTAAGCCCCTCCCCCTCCTGACTGCATGTAAAGCTAAAATTAGGTTTCCTCCTGTAATGCAACACTTGGGTTTCAAACAGCACCCGAGAGGTTCACTTTTCTTTTTAACAGCTACTTAACCACGTACACTATTAAAAAAAGTTTTAAAAGTTAAATGACTACAGAGTCAAGGACACACCCAAACTGATTATCTACGCAATGTACCAAACTGAAAGAGCTTACCACCCCAAACCCCCCTGCTTTTTAAAAAGAAAAATTCTGGATGCCTATTCACACAGCTCAAAATAACCCCGTTACACAAGCATCAAGACAAGTTTTAAAACTTCCAAGGGAAAAATGCACAGAAAAGACTTTCATTTAAGTTGTCTTTGATGGAAGAGGACACAAGGCATGACTGTAGGAATGCTGCAACAGATACCAACAGCGAATATGACAGACACGTCCTCACATAACGTAGCTCCACTGGTCACGCTTCTTAACGTTCACTCATCCTGAAAGGCCCCCGTTGGTTTTTTTCATACCTCAGCGGGGAGAGGGCCATTCCCTCTTACACACCATACAGAGAACATATAAAAATAATTAATGTCCAGGTGTCTCTTTCCAAGTTGCAGATGACCGATTAAGATCCAACCCACCAACTGCCAAATCAATGTGGTCAATGAAAACAAAAATTTTCCCAGTCCACAACTCCTAGCTCAAAACTTCTAAGGCTGGGCAGGCCTCCTAAGGCTTCTCTTGTTGCCCAGAGAAGCTGTGGATGCCCCATCCCTGGAAGTGTTCAAGGCCAGGCTGGATGAGGCTTTGAGCAACCTGGTCTAGTGGAAGGTGTCCCTGCCCATGGCAGGGGGGTTGGAACTAGATGGGCTTTAAGGTCCCTTCCAACCCAAACCATTCCGTGATTCTATAACAGTAAGTAACCTTGTTTCTTGCTACCACTGTTCCCTGCAGTTCTACAAACGAGAAAGTGCCTGATGAAAATGCAAGTACCCTTCTCCTGTGATAGCTGTAAGGAAGTGTGGATACACAGTCCTCAGGCGCTTCCCATTATCTGGCTCACATTAGCAGAAAAGGCAGGAATCACAGCTGTAATCTGTTACTTCACTTGAAACAAAGGGAGATCCAAATCACACCGTGAAAAACTTCCAACCGTTTCACACGCTTCATTATTCACAGTAAACAAAAACGTTACTTACATAAGCTCATTGTTCCTGATGATTTTAACCGCTACTTCTTGGTTTGCTCTCGCCATGTCCCTGGCTCGCACTACGTTACTGAAGACTCCCTGACCGGTGTAACCATAGACATTGTAACGTTTATCTAGAACTTCACCTATGTTAACACCTGAAGGATAAAACCAAGCAATTCAGAGGGTTACAAGCAACGTACATATCAAAACCTTTCATGAAAAATAAGCCATCCTGTGGAATTCAGAAAAACAAGGGTAAAGGGTATCATCACTTCATGCCATTGTGTACAATGCCTTATATGACCTAGCTTTGTGGAAGTTAGGGGGAGCGAACTGTGATTCTCCAAGTCTGGAGTCTTCGCAAGGGAGGTTAAAACCAGCATGCTCACCTCGCCCATTACACTGCCTGCTCAGCAGGGGCACTGTGGTACACGTGTGACAGAGTGACGTCCCACCGCGCTTTACAGGAAGATCAGCACCCACTCAGCACCCCCCTTCTAGCTGTCCTCGCCAATCAACAAATACAACTTACGGTAGTAGCCTTCTGCATCCGTCCAGTTATCCCTGAGATTGGGGTTTTCTTTGAAGTCTTTTCCAAATCCAGCAGCCCTCAGACGAGCACTCTGAAATGAAAAGGAACAGCTTTGCCTGTGTGCTTTATGCTTCCTTACCAACAGCCATTTCCTTCCCTATGGACACACTCCCTCCTTGCAGTACAAACACACTCACCTCACAGGAGAGAGAAGTTCCTCCAACACAGCATCATTAGCAAGTTATCTTACAGGGACACTTTTTAAGTAACCATGCATGAACCTCTGAAAAAAGCCCATTTTTAGAACAGTGTGGCATGGTACCATTAACATAAAGTGTAACTTGTATGTTCATTGCTGCATGCCGGTGCTGGTCCTGTTCAAACAACAGCAGCTGAATTCCTGATGGCTTACTCGGGTAAAACACCCACTCATTTCAGCAGGTTTTCTTTCCCTGAAACGCTCAGAACTACTTTGTCTGCCCTGGCAGATCAAAAGATTCAGAACACACTCTCCACTCGGTTACACAGGCTTTTACAAATCAAAGTTCCCACGGACCTCAAGTGACAGTAACTCTTGGGGGGGGGGAAATCAACCCATACATTTCATCTCCGGGAATTACCTACATCAAAGTACGCAGCGAACATATCATCCGATTCTGTGAACATGTCAGGAGCCAGCAGTTTCTTCTGAGATGAACCTAAAAACGAGATTTAGATTACTCAACGTGAAGAAGACAACGAGCTGTTAACTGCTACCAGTGTAATCAGTCACCGTTACCTGCACAACATAATCAGTACGTCGGCAAACGGGTAGCTCTACCAACACGTCTAGCAAACGCCGTCTTACGTTCTAGAAACGTGAACCCCAGACTCGCTAAGTTGTTTGAAGCACTCAAAACTTACACCTCCTTGAAAAATTAAGTGTAGTAGTGCTCAAATAATTTGCACAACAGAAAGCAAAAAGTACATACTTATATATAGCTGTTACCTGTGGGGATCATGTATCTGCATGTATAAAGAGAAAGGGAAAACAACTGTGTGTATATATTAAAAATATACAGGCATGTTTTCAATATAAAAGTTCAGGCTTTTCTGCTAATCACAAGGTGTTTTAGTAAAAAACAAAGTTGTGAAGCCAAGAAGTTGTTTCTTTTGAAAAATGTCTTCTTCAGCCCTGTCAAAAAGGACCTGGTGTGTAGCTTTTAGTCAAGCTCGTTAACTTTTAACATTTGAGAAACGTTTTTAATGTGGGTAAGATTATCCCTTTCTCACTTTTTAATCATCTTAAAGACATTTTACTTGGTTGATAAGATAAAAGCAAAGACATACAAGTGAAGAACACATTAGTGAAAACAGTAAAACTCCAAACTGTTTCACAAGGCACATGATGGAAGCATCTCTTCGTGCCATGGTGAATCACTCCCTTTAGGGTAGGAAGCAATGGAGAAAGACAGACCTTGGATGCTTCAGCTCTCCTGCTGATGCATACAGCCCACCGCTCCCATACAAACTATCTGGACTGAAATCTTCTGACAGCACCAACAACTCTCGTCCACCATGCGGACACTGTTGTTGCAAAGGGTAGACCTTACACGGCAGAGAGAAACCGTTTCAAGATACAGACCCTTCCAGCAACTTCCTTGAATTTTCTTTTGCAGTTCCAGTTACTCACACCTGCACTGGGCTGCAATGAGTTATTAGCTAGGCCCTTAGCAACTTTACTCTATGCGAGGTCAGGATATAAATAAAGAAATGGCTTTTACAGAGAAAGATGACCCACTGCTTCCGTCTGTTGTTATAGCCACCTCCAACCCCTCATCCTACCAACACATGAAAATTCCCAGATTCGAGGATACTGCCTGCTACACGCAAAACAACGGAGCCTAAAGATGTGGAAGGCAAATGAAGGAGGAGCACATACAGCAGGTGTTGCCACCCTCACCGCAGGAAGAACAATCTGACACCGTGCTGCTGAAGGGAACGGCAGGACAAACTACGGAGCAGCGCACCAGTCCCAAAGAGACGCAGCTTTATTGCTTCCAAGAGAAGCCTCCGCTACACCAGGGCATATTCAGCCCCCGAGGATACGTCCAGCGCGTGATGCTAAATACCAGCTAGCTGTCCGACCTTTCCGGCGGGGCCGGGCAAGTTCCGCAGCCCTTGGTAAAGAGCGCGCTGCTGCGGTTAAACGGGAAGGAGAAACCGACGCAGTTAAAAGCAGCTCGAGTACGTCCACATGGCAACTTCCTGCACCTTCTGACTGCTTGGAAGATGCGCGGCAATCCACTTTCAAGGCAAAAAAGGAAATAAAGCAGACTTTCAGTATTACGGGGCGCGCCAGGAGGCGCTCCACGTTCCTTCTGCTGCGGCAGGCGCAAGGCAGGTTTTACGTCAAGATGTGTTTCGTTGCAGTATCGTCGTACAACAGGCCGTGTGCATGGAGGAAGAGAAGGAAATAGCCATTTCTTCAGCAAGATGTCACGCCACCGAATGGACTGACTCCCCAAAGCCTTACTCCTTCTCAACTGCCTGTATTCTTCTAACACAGTGGCTTTGACCAAGAAAATGGACAGAAGGGGCACAGTTTCCAACCCACCCCAAAATAATAACCAGGACTGTATTAAGCTTTTAGGAAAACAACGCGCCTAAGTGAAAATTAAAATTTAGAAAAGGCTGATTCTTAACTATAAAGACAGACATCATCATTTGATCTTCCAAATGTAGAGCATGGAATCGTGTGATCAGAAACAGAGAGAGTATGTTCCATTCATATCGTCCCCCTTAACAAGCAAGCTTTATTTTAATGTTCTAAATAACATAATATTCGTGGAAACATTCTCAAATTCAGTCCAAAAAGTCAATCTACATCCAAGCCTGGAACTATATACGGAAGCTAAGCAAAGCGTCTCTTTTGAAGTGCTCTGCTTGAGAGTGGAACTTCTGTCAACTGTGCTAGGCAGGGAGGTTTCAGACTCTTACCATTGTTCTGTTCAACCGTCATGAGGTTGTGCTTGGCTTTTACCGATGCCTCAAACGTGTCCACGTTTTCCCGTTCGTACTCCTTCACGTCAGCGGCGACTCTTTCCAGGATGTCGTCGGGCGAATTTGAGCGGCTACGCGTACTACTCTGGGGACTGCTTGGTTCAGAAGGTACAGATATATTACTGTCTTCTGTCTGCCCTTTGTATTTCTAAAAAGAAATATAGTTATTAATCTCACCATCACAGCATAATCACAATTTAAACATTTTTGTACTCGCTTTTTCAATGGTCTGCGCTAACCCTTAACCCTCTGCTTCTATAACCTGTTGCCACTGGAGAGGTAGATGGTTATTTCCAGAAGGGGATACAGCTTTTGAAAACTCATTTTGCTACAGTGCACTGCAGCCCGGACTGTAAAAGACTGAAAAATTCACATGTGCCCTTCAGGCTTTCACGTTTCTGTAAAAAGCTACTCTTATTGAAAATTAACTACTTCGTTGTGAACGACAAAAAGTCGCTACAAATAGATTTATTACTAAACCACTCTGTGACACAAGCGGTCAAAGTCTTTAGGGAAAAATTAATGATCTTCTCTCTTATTAGCATTATGGCACAGAAAAGTACTTTTTAGATTCAGGTTTTCAATTTGAATTGGAAATCCTATTCGTTCATTCACTCTCGTTGAAAAATTTCAGATGCATTAAAAAAAGCTCAAGACACCAACCACCTTTAAAAAAAAAAATTTTAAAACTCTAGTATGAAATTACGGAAATGTCACTTCCTCTCCCAAAAGTTAAAAATCAAACTGGATAAATGCTGATACCACTCAGTTATCAAGGTCAAACTATTCAATAATACACAAGCAGATGTTTCCCATTTAAGGAACAAAGCTCTGGAAGTCACCTCCTGCATGGACCAATGGCAGGTGCACCTGGCCTTTAAAAATAATTTACTTTACATGGTTTTGCTCATAGTTCTGAAGGATTTCACAATGGGCTTTGCATAACAGTCAAACAGCGGAACGGTAGTTTCCATAACCTGTGTTCCTATAACTAAATGTTTAGTAAATATGCTACAGCATTGTGCTGACCAGTTTTAACTGTGTGTCAAATCCCAACGTAAAAAAAATTTAGAATTAGGATGTAGAAGAATGGAATTACACCCCCTTCGGCCACAGCTCCCTTTCAGGGGTCTCGGTCACATACTGCCTGTCACTACTGTTACCTTCTTACCAGGAATTAGAGTTCATGGGAACTCACACGTGTAACCGAATACATTATCTACTTTTGTGAAGAGGGAACCCATGTCAGTGGCTTTAGGAAGCTTTGGAAAGGTCCAACTTCTACTTGAAACCAACTGTGACCAGTTCGGTTAATTTGTACATAACTTAACACTACACTGACACCATGGTATCAACGACGCATCTACAAAGAAAACCTACAGATTAAGATAACCAGAGAACATTTTTGACATGTTACAGGATGGTCGGAAAACATTTAACCGTAGCACAGAACTGACTCACAGGAGAGTTGCTTCTATCTTAAAAGCAATGCTGTTGCAATGGAAGCATAAAGTTTAACTGAGACTGAAGTTTTTCCAATTAATTTACTGTAAAGTACAGCAACAGTAATTACTACCTTAATGTAGGGACAGGCTAAGAGCCTTCCTGCATCACAGCATGTTACACTACAAGCATAAAGGTAGTTCCGGTAGCCCACACGATACTATAACATGTACCTGAACGATTGCTTGCCGCTGTAATCTTCTTTGCCTTATCTCTGCTTCTTCATCCTCTTCTTCCAAATCAAAGTCTTCAAGACTATAAAAATATAATTACTTTTTAAATAAAAGCATAAAGGGAAGATTATTTTTAACAAATAGAGTTCTCTGGTGTAGAAAGCACACAAGGCACTATACAGTAGCTGTTCAGCCGACTAAGAAAGCAAAGGTGTATTAAATCCCAGCGTGTCTATTTACGTCTTCTTACAGAGAAAATTTATCTTTTGTATCTCACTGGGACTTAGAGCACTTTATTTTTAACTGCAAACAATTAAGAGTAGCTGCTTTTAAAGAGAAAAGACAAACAAACATTTTCATTCCTCCATCATTCTTCCCTGATAATTTGATTAAGAATGCATACTCTTGTGCAATTGGATTAAGTGGATATTTAGCAAATATAAAAGCAATTTGCAGATTGCAATTAATCCTTTCAGCTGTTAAAAATTTTCCTCAAGCAATTAAGCTGGAGGAAACAGCCCAGATATTTGCACAGATACTGATCAAGCTGAATGTGGAAACCGAACCAGACAGCATCCCCTCCGGCCTGCCCACCATATCTCGCGCACATCAGTGTTTTCCAGCTCACCCCGACAGTAGTTTGACAGGATCACAAGTACTGAAACACGATTAAGGTTTTAGCCGACAACCCAAAAACTACGCTGTGAAGATAAACGTCAGTTCGTTCTCCCTTATCGGTGGACCTGTATTTTGAGACGGCCAGTGCAAGTTAGAAAGGAATTCTTACTTTTCATCTGAAGACGACTCCTGTTCGGCTTTCATACCCTCAGAGAGACTACCTTTAAATTTGTCTTCTTTAACTTTGCTCCTGCTCCTACGCCTGTGGCCACCACGTGACCGGGACCTCCTTCGAAGGCGAGACCTGCTTCTTCGGCCTCTATCCCTGGCAACAATAAGAGGGGGTTGGGTATCTGGGGGTTTGGTTTTTTGAAGAAGAGGAAGAAAACCTCTTCATAAAACATAAAGGTACGTAACAACTCCTAAACCCAATGAATTCACGAAGGACAAAATGAATTCAACAGCGCTAGCATAAATAAATGTGAAGCAAAGAAAAGCACTGTATCTTTACACATAATACAGCAATCTTTATTATTTTAGTAGCATTCTACAAGACATATTAAAAAAGCAGCGCGTCTTTACCTCCTCCGAGGAGACCTACTCCTCCTTCTCGGAGACCGGCTACGCCGAAGGGGCGAACGAGACCTTCTTCTGATGGGAGACCGAGACCTTCTTCTGGAGGGAGACCATCTGCTGGGCGGGCTAACATCTTTTGATCTTTCACGTCTAGACAAAATATCATCTCTGGTCCGCGCTCTTAAAACAGAGGGAGAGAATGGCAGAAAATTCAGGAGCAAGCTGAGAACAAAAGCCACAATTCCCTCTAAAAGATCACTTAAAAGCAAGGGAGGGACACCAGGTACGCGGGTGGAGGAGGGATAGGGAAGTGTGCTACAGAGCTGGCTTTCTCCCGTCTGCCAGCCCACCCTGGCAAACACGTGCCCGTGCACAGGTCTAGTTCAGGGTAAGTCTAGAAACAGAGCTTGTTGACTACCACCACAAAGCTGAGAGGTTTTACATAAATAGTGGCCTGTTTTCTTGCTTATCGGAAACGGTATTTAAACAATAAACCCCAAAACCTATTTACTGAGAATTTTCTCAGCAACTTCACAACGCAATATTGAAATTCAGGACCACGTCACTCCACTACAGTAACTTTAACGTCCGTTTCAACCGGGCACTAGAACTGGGTGGCTTCAACATTCCACACATTCAAATGCAGCAGCTGAAAACTACGATTTTTATTAATTAACAAGTAAACTATCCCTTCTCCAATTAAAGAATAATTCAAGTCTGACACTACATACTGCTCCAAATTTGTTCACTCTTGTCTGTACAGATTCAGAGTTATTCAAGAAAATAAATCCTTGATGGAACAACTACATTAAAGAAAACTTACTGTATTGCATGGCAGCAAGACTGGGATCAAAAACTGGAAAGGACAGAAGTTAGAAATATTTAACAACTATTCTAATGAGGCTGCAACAGAAATTCTTGGAGTATATTCCCACACCATGGTTCAAAGAAAATATTGCTACTCTTTCTTCCCCTCCTTTTTTTTTTTTAATTAAACGGAGACAAGTTATTTCAGGTTCTCTCATCGATTAACTAAATTTCTTGGGCCTAAAAGATTGATTCCACCCATGCTGTAATGGGTTTTTCTTTGTTTTGAGACTATTATATCAGTTTCAGCACCCTTAGCTATGTATAATGACCAGGTGTACAGAACTGATGCAAAATATAAAACAGAGGGACAGAAGGAAAATTTATGCACCTGCAAAAGGGCTGGCAGTTTCGACAAAAAATCCCTGCATAGTCAAATGCTGGAGCAGGCTGAACCCTTTAATCCATTTAATTTATGTTATGTTCTTGCAAACAACACTACAAAAAAGGTCACAGGATGGACTGATAGTTGCAGGTTTCCTGGCTAACAAGGTATTTATGCTGCCAAAATCCAATCAAAATAACTGGGGGAAAGAAATAAAACCCAAACCAAACCCACAACCCAGTTCACAGGTCTCAGCTATGAGATAAAAAAAAATAGGTGGTGATTAAGAATTCATAGTAATGCCATAAACTGAGTAACTTCAGTCAGAGACCTGAGAAGTATTTAACGTGATTAGAACACTGGAAACAAATGTGTAAATCCAAGTTACTGGAAATTTTTGGTTAAAACTGTTGATTAAAACTCCCAAAATTCTCTGGCAGCCCGAGTAATTACAGGTAGTTAAAACTCCAATGCTTCAGACGAAGTTAGCTCGGGATGTCCCACAGATTATCCCTGTTGATCTGCAAATGCTCCTGGAAGAAAATATTCCTCAGTAGTCCCCCTCTTACACACTGCTCACCACGGTGTTATAGAAGTACAAATTCGATAGCAAAATTCTAGACACATCCCTCACTTGATATAGTGCCTAGACAACTAATTCAACCTGTCCGCAATGCCAGCTGTCACAAGAAACGGAACGATGCACAACGCTACAGAAGGGAAGTCAAGTACAACGTCAAAAACACATAGCGGTGGCGCCGACAGGTTCCCGGCTCACCAGAAAGCAGTCAGACAAACTGCCAGCCTTCCCTTCACAACACCCGCTTACTGTGGCTACCACCCCTGGGGCCATCCCCCACGGTGCCCGCAGCTATCGCCAAGTGGTAGCACAGACAAATAAGCTGCTGATGGGCCTGCGGAGGACAGCCAGTACCTGAAACCAGAGTAACCTTCAGTGACGCCGGCAGAAAGATTTCATGTTTATCAGGCACTTATTTACCGAGCTGGGTCTCTGTGGTTCCAACACATGGTTTTAAGTTAATGCTGCTTCCGTCTTAACTCTGGGAGTGAAGCTAAACCCCATGAAAAAGAAAATGTTCTAAATTATTAATAACCCCAAAATCATGCTAAACTCTTCTGCCTGTTGAACTTCTTCCACTGAACGAATTAACTTCCAAAAACATATACACCTGCACTCTTCTCTGCTCGGGAACTTACCATCCGGGCCTCATCAGCTTCAGAGAAAGAGATGCTAGTAATTATAGTCTCGTGGTTCACATGAAATCTCAAGGTAACTGCTTGCATGGGCTAAACTGCCTTTTTAAAAAATGCAAAGACTAAAACCACATGAAAAAGATTTTAGTCTTTCTTCTCTAAGTGTATGCAAAATATGCTAATGATATACCAGAGACCAATACGGAGGCAACACTACCATGCCTCTAGGAAATTAAAAAGATGAAATGTTTTTAAGAAAAAAAAAAAAAAGACTGTGAGATGGACACCTCGGTGTAAGAGATTTGCTTACATTCACAGATGTCGACTCTATAATTAGGGGTTTTTTTGTTGAAGGGGAAAAGGGGTTAAGTACCCACTTTTAGCCAATGCTGATATGTAAGAATGGGGTTGGGGGGACAGGGACTCTCACTCCACAGAAATTCCTGAAAGCAACAGAACCAAATGACAAAAAGGAAAGAACCTGAGCTACAAGACTTGTTCTCAGCAGTATTAGGAGCAGCAGGTAACCCGGCATATGAGCAGCCAAAGCTGAATCTGCAGGCCCAGCAACCGTACGCATTTAGTTTTTAAGAACCGAACACACACCAAGTAAGCTCGCGATGCAGCGCGCAAACCGAGCACCCTTTTCCGTGGCCACCTTCAGCAGAGACAAACGAGGTGACTGTTCACCCGGTAACGCAGTTTTGCGACGGTTCGTGACATCTTTAGGTTACCTGGGGGAAGACAGACGCCTCCTTTCTGACTCTCTTCTTTTCCGTTCTGCAGACCTACTCCTCACTCTCCTCACCGGAGACCGGGTTCGAGAGGGGGATTTACTCTGTTTAGATCTACGGTCATTAAAGAGAGGGGATCTGCTTCTTCTTGACTTTTCACGTTGTTTGGGAGATAAGCTTCTTCCTTTTGGGCTACGACCAGGTCTCCTAGGGGACCTGTTTTCTTTCCCTGAAGACGCATCTTTAGAAGGAGATTTAATTGGCTTTTTTTCTTTCTCAGTCTCTGATCTCCTAGGTTTTCTATCTTTGGACCGTGATCTTCTATCTTTGGATTTGCTTCTTAGTTCTGCTGGAGATTTAGATTTTCTGCCACGATCTCTGCTTTTGTTTTCATTCACAACTGGAGACTTCCTGCGATCTCTTGACTTATTTTTATCATCAGCCTTATTTCTATCCTCCAGAGGAGATTTGGACTTTCTGTTTTTCTCCTGAGATCGCCTTTTAAGCATTGGAGACCTAGATTTCCTTGTCTGATCTTGAGACTTACTTCTCTTATAAGGGCTTTTGGATTTCCTCCTCTCTTTTGACTTGCTTCTAGTCATCTTCTCTTTGATTCCATCAACCCCTACCTTGCCTTTCTTTTTGTCAGATCTGTGTCTAGTCCTTTCTTTTGATTCACTCTTACTTCCTTTCTTGGAACTAGTTTTATTGTCCACAGGTTCTAATTTGCCCTTAGTGTTTGACTTCACTGCAGGCCTCGTGCCGTTTCGCGCTTTTTCATTAATCTCCCCCTCTTCTTCAGATCCCGACTCATACCCCTGTAGTATCAATCCCATCCCAGACTGGACTTTTCCTTCCATTAATTCGTTTTCAAGTTCAGCTTTCAATAATGCTCTTTGTTTCTCCAGGTCTTCCAGAGGAGCTAAAAAATCAATTTTAGTTCTTTTGGCTGGTCCATCTTCCTTGTCAGAGGTATCAGCTACCTCTTTCCGTTTATGTTTCTTATGTTTGTGTCTGTGTTTATGTTTTTTGTCCTTATCCTCTTCTGAAGAATGTTTGTGTTTCTTGTGTTTACTTCGGTGTTTGTGTTTCTTTTTTTTGTGTCGGCTGTGCTTGTTCTGAGGTTGGTCTGCCTCTGATACTTCCCCATTTTCTTCGTTTACACTTTTCTCCGATGCATCAGCATCTTCAACCCTGCAAAAAACAAAAACTACAGATCAGTACTACCAACTCCCCGCAGTCCTTAACCTTGGGTGGACAGCCCTTTTTGTGACGGAAACTAACCTGCATTCCATGACCCACCTTTGGGAGAATTAAACAGGTACGACTAACGTAACTAAGTTACAGCAGCAGATACAGTTCCGCGCCAACAGGCGGCTGTTCACGAGAGCAAAGAGAAGGAAGATCCAGCAAACGCACCAACGAAACAAAGCACATGGGCGAAGTCAACACTTACGCTTTTAGGCTCAACGCTGACAAACTCTGCTAACGGTACACAACAGGGCTGCCCGGATATGCATCCTGTCAGTCCATCATCTGCCCTACCTGCTGCCTCACCCCCAATGCCCAACCCAAGCTCTGCCTTTTACATGTATTTTCAAATGGCAGAACCATGATCAAAACTTATTCCAGGGGTTGATGCTGACCACCTAATGCGACCATCTTGCAAAATCTCACACGGAGCCTACGGATTCTCTTAACCACTATCTCCTCCTGCAAGTGTACACACCTTCTAGAAAACCAAGACCTGTTCTTACCGTGCACTCGTGTTATTTATGCAACACAAGAAGCCCTATTCAGGAACAGGATAAATGCAGGATGTCTAAGTTCAGACAAGCTTTCTGACAGTATACAGCAGACTATCAGCTTCCCAAGAAAAAAAGCGGTAGTCTTTAGACCTGTAAAATGGCATTGTCCACAAACGGCAGTAAAGTCTACAGCAGGTTATTAAAATAATAATGTACAGTGTTTCTTCTAAAAAGAAAATCAATTAGCTAGTCACAGCAGCAAGTAATTCAGCGTACTTCATAGCTTCAAAAATGATAAAGCGCGGCCCCGATGTTATGCATTCACTCACGTTACCTTCCTCAGCCGCTGAAACTGACTGACCAATAGATCTTTTACAGTGTTTAGCAAATACCTTCCCATCTCCTTCCGGACATCAATTAAATCCCTGTCTGCGGTAAGACAGATACTTGCCTTTTGAAATCTGTCACCATGTACTACAGGTACAAGAGTTCACCTTTCTATAAACTCACCCTCATCTAAGCTACTTTTGGAATATACTAGCTAATGCTTTTTAAACTTAAACATAGCCCTTTTTTGCAACCCAAGCCTCATTTCTTGAAAGGAAATTCCCTAAACATGATGGTCAGGAGTGGCAGGGGGATGTACACAGAAATGCAGAGATATTCACAGAGAGGGTGGGGAGGCAGTGGAACAGGTTGCCCAGAGAAGCTGTGGATGCCCCATCCCTGGAAGCGTTCAAGGCCAGGCTGGATGAGGCTTTGAGCAACCTGACCTAGTGGAAGGTGTCCCTGCCCATGGCAGGGGGGTAGAACTAGATGGGCTTTAAGGTCCCTTCCAACCCAAACCATCCTATAATTCTATGATTTTCTGAACTCCACTAGTTTCATACGACAGATGTTTCTGAATAACGTGATCAACGACCCAATGGAATAAACATATCAGAGGTATTCCAAGACAGGTCTAAAGCACAGCCTTCCCATGTAAATTTCACCAGTGTCTTCCCAATTAAAGACAGTATCTTTGAACAGCGCAGTTACGGATCCTCTCCTGTTTGAGGCAATGCAAATTCTAGTACTCCTAAATAATCCAGACTTCCCTGCAACATATGCTAAAATTATTTGCTAAAACCACTGACACTTTAGTGCTCTGAAATGAGAACTTTCCTAAGGGAAGTAGAGTTAAAAACATGCACTATCCAGAGACTTAAGTCAGAATGCTGTATGCTTTTTCTTCTGCGTCTTTCCCACTACTTCTGCTTACTCAAAGCCTACAGAAATACAGGTGCTTCTCTTAATTGCTTCCTCCTGATGCTCCACACCATTATGACAACAGAATATCAGAAAGAAAGAGGACAAAGTGCCTTAAAATGAATTTGTTCTATGTTGCATTTGGCACAAAAGACACCGAAAAGAAGGAAAAAGTATTACATGTAAAACTTGCTTGAATTTGCAATCCAGAGCAAGTATGTCACTGACATAAATGGGTCAAGAATTTTAAGGGAACTATGCATCTTTCAAGATTTTTTTTTAGTCAGATACAGGATGCCATGTAAGACCCTCATAACACATGAATAGTACTCCAGTGCATTATAAAAATATTAGAGAACAACAAAAAAAATCACATCCATTCAAGCGGCTCCAGGTTAAGCCTCCCTTCGCTTAACAGCAGAAAGCGACACGGTAACATGGTTATTTTGCTGTCACACGTCTTTCAGTGTTATGTAATAACCTCACCTCACATTCCATAAAAGCAAGCCGGCAGCCCAGGCGCCAGGTGAGATGCAGCACCACAGCGGTACCTCAGGCTGCCAATACGAGTGCCAGCCTTCCACGCACCGCTACCTCAACTATAAAGTTAGTAGTAATTTTGGTAGTGTGCATCAAACACTTCAGAGTTTATACACATACACAGGAATCTCTTTGAGTAAAACATGGATAACCTTTTACTTCGTTTAAACACGTCAGAGGTGTAATTCCATGGATGAGAAAGCTTTTAAGCAGATTTGAGAAGGTGATGGGGCAGACAGCACCTAAACATGCGGTTAACAAACAGCTTTAACCAGGAAGGAATTGTGATCGTCTTATTATAGCCTCACTTTTTCTTCCTTCTGAATTCAAGGAGAAGGATAGGAAGTGCATGAAGATTTGCAAGAGGTTTCACCCACCTTTTCCTACATTCAGGCTTCGATCAGCAGCTGTAACCCCATTGCTGCCGGTTACGTTTCTCTACAGAACACCAAGCCCCTGCATCGTGCGCTCACAGGGTTCACGTGTGCATCCATCACTTTTCCTCACCTGTCTGCCGCTTCTCAAGATTAACGAGCAAGCCTCAAATCGCCACTTTTAAAGGCAGAAAAAAGACGGAAAGCATTTATACGGCAAAACCGTTTGCACGCTGCAGAGCGGCGGCACAGCGAGCATTAGGTCGGCAGCTCCGGGCAGAAGTTCCTGTGAAGAAAGCGCTCCCGAGCGCCGGCAAACCTAAAACCCACAGACTGGAGCGCCAAGGAAATACACCCCCGGTCCGGCGGGGAGACGGCAGCTCCATCTTCGCTTCCCGACGGGAGAGCCGATAGTTGCCAGTCATTTGGAGGGCTGGAAGGAGGGGCTGGCGGCAACGAATCGCTTTCCGCTTCCCCCAGCGCAGGCACTTAGTACAAGGCGAGGGCGCGGGGGACGCGGGGGAGGT